CTTCAGAATACAGAAGATTGGTAGGTAGACTCTTATACTTAACTATAACTAGACCAAATTTAGTTTATAGTGTCCACATCCTTAGATAATTTATGTCTAATCCCTCTAAAGAACACCTAACAGTTGCCCATAGAGTACTTAGGTACATTAAGGGTACTGTCGGCAAAGGGTTGTTTTTCTCAAGATTTTCAAAATTAGAACTACATGCTTATAGTGACAGTGATTGGGCAAGATGTTTGGACGCTAGAAAGAATTTAACTAGTTGTAGTGTTTTTCTTGGTGACTCTCTTATATCTTGGAAATCAAAGAAACAATCTACTATAAGTAGTTCTTCAGCAGAAGCTGAATACAGGGCTCTTGCATCTACTTCATGTGAGATACAATGGCTTCTTTACTTATTTACAGGTTTGCACTTAATCAACCCCTCCCCAGTTGTTGTGTTTTGTGACAGCATATCTGCTATTACCATTGCCTCCAATCCTGTGTTCCATGAATGAACGAAACACATCCAAATTGACTGCCACCTTATTAGAGAGAAGCTCAGCCATAAAGTCATCAGGCTTCAGTACATCTCCACCACAGAACAAGTAGCAGATATTCTCACAAAACCTCTCTCCGGGCCTGCATTTTCCTACTTAGAATCCAAGCTAAACATGTCTTGTTAGTGTTATATACTTAAAGCTTGGCTTTGCATGTTATTACACATTTACCCTTTATGAATGAGAATCATGTTAGATTAAACAAGTTCTACGTTCTGTTGTTCTGCACTTAGATGGAGTGGGTCGTCACCAGGCGAACCGAAGATCACTCTATCAGTTACTTGCGAACAAGAATAGTTGTTCACAACCTAGATGGACATGAACACCCCATCCGCACGGTTGTAGTGTCAATTGTACAGTTTGTCTTGACTGATTAGTTGCACTAGTACATTTATGTATTGAACAGGATCCCAGAGAGGAGAAGTTCATTTTATACTGATCGTCGTAAATGAACTAGACCTCGGTTAATTACTGTGTTCTCTTAACCCGTAAGATATTAAACAGGCAGATATATATAATATATATTACTTTGATTCACATGGGTGAGGTTCAGTTCGCTAGATTAATATTCCTACTGTTTTGGGTAATATTATTATATATAGGATGTGCTGTTAGGATATTTACTGTCACCATGTGCGTTAGTTTGATGATGTCCCCGGAGTGAGTTCATGAAGGATTGTTATGCTAAACCCTGTAGGTGGATTAAGTTCCGGCATAATAAGAATGTGATGAACGAGCGCTAGCTTCGGTGAAATAATAATCAATTCATTAATTCTTGATTGTCAGTAATCAAATTAATTAATAGACATTATATCTTAAACGTGGAGAGGTAAATCATGTAATTATTACTGGAGTCTCCAATGTAATTTGGGCTAGGAAGAGGGAGTGCAATAATATAATGTTGGTGACCCATTACTATTATTTAATTAATTAGAGGAGTGGGCTTGGCCCACAGTTAGTCTAATTAATTAAGGAGCCCTTTTCCTAATCTCCTTAGGGTCCCTACTGTAGCTCTATATATACATCATTAAGCTCATGAGAAGAGAAGACATCTGTCATTATACAAACACACGTCCCACGCCTCTCACTCTTTCTAGATCTAATTCGAGCTTTATCTTCTTCTTGCTGCTCCACTGGTACAAGTTGAAGAAGGGTGTATTGAGTAATACAATAGAAGATCTGTAGGTAAACCGAGACGAAACATATTTTAACCTACAGAACTAACCGGAAGTCCGATTGAGACGCAGCATACCCAGACGACCGTCTCGACGAGAGATTTCCATCGCCGCCAAGATCGCCGGAATCCGACGTTTCACGCGCCCTCACGCGCCGCCGAAAGCTCCCAGGCTGCAAAATTTTGTTTTGATCTGTTTGCATCTGTTTGATCCGGTTTTGATCTGATCTTGTTCATGCAACCCAAGACGTGATTTGACGGTCAATCAATTGCGGTCAACCGTTCGTGGTCAACCAGATCTATATAAATTTTAAGCCGTAAGTTCTCTACGTCAAACCTTTAAATCCGCTGCGCATAGGTTTACGTTTGCTATTGAATTCGTGACTTGTACATAACGAGATCCTCACAGATCCTAACATGTCTAACATTCATGCTTAGCTTGCGGGGGGATATCAGAGTTGCTATTCTATTTTGTAAAAGTGTTATTTCATATTTGTAAAAGTGTTTTTTTAATAGTTGTTAATATATGTTGTGTTAAGTTGTTAATTGATGTAAAGCAACTTTACTTAGGGTTGCTTATATGTTGAAGTATAAATAGCAACATCCTGTAAACAAACCCTAATTTTTCATTCATTTTTCTTTCTTCGTTTTCTCTCAAACACACCGCGTCTCTCTTCTCTCTTTGTCTCAGAATTTTTCTTTGCAATTTATTTTAATTGTTTGATCAATCTCAATATCGATTTAATCATTTGGGGCATGTTTGAGTTTTACTACTACTAGTTATATTTGACTAGAGAAGGGATCATATGAGAATGATAGATAGTGAAAGAAATGAAAATGATTGTGGACCATTGGATCCAACATATCAATGGTTACGATGAAGTCAAACTATAGTCAATCATTAATGACAATTTGGTAATTGTTTGATCATAGTGTGGTCAAATATGTGCATTTGACCAATAATTAAGGGTAAGTTGGTCAATACACATTTATTATGGGGGACCCACTCACCAATTAAATATTTATTTTGTTTTCATCTCCCTCCTCCTTCACGATCGATCCAGATCTGCAAAAAAAAAACACACACACACACACGCACACACACACACACAGCACATCTGCGCCGCTGCTGGACCACCACCCGCCGCCAGTCACCAGAACGCCACCACCGCCCGACATCTTAGAAGACCGCCGCTGCCGGTTCCGTTGCCGCCGAAACCACAAACCATCCCAACCAACTCCTCCGCCCCATCTGCAATCTTCCCGGCAGCTCCTCCGCCTATAGCCCCGCCTCCGTCACAAATTGCTTCCTCCGTCGTCACTGAACCCGTCGGGACCACTCTGTAACAACCAACAGCTCTGTCCCATCCACAGACCCACCTCCGCCCCATATTTCACCCACCGCCGCCGCACGTCCTATTTGGCCGGATGACCACTGCGATTTTGGTCGGATGACCACTGCGATTTGACCGATTGTAGCATCTGTACATCATGTGTTTGTTTGAGTTTTTTGGGTTGTTTTTGTGAGAATTAGATTTATCTAATTGCAATTTTTGAAATTTTGATATATTTTCAATTGAATACAATTAGGCAAATTGATAATATAATATATTTAAATACATACACAATAATACATTGCACTATATTAATTTTTTATACTTCAATAGAAAATCATAGCTTAATATTTTTATACAAAAAATATAAAATATAATATTTTTAATATAATTTGGTTTTTACTTTAGTTATTCAAATAAATAATAATAATTGACATCGTACCGAAATACTTGATTTATAAAAAAATACTAATAATAATCGAAACAATATATAAAATTTCGTACCGAATTTATGTTCGTTGGATCTCGTTCGATTTTGTGCAATCTGGTAGACGTTTATGTGCAATTAGTATAACCATGATGTGCACTCTCAATACATACAAAAATGTATATACAAAATATTATTTTTTTTATTAAAAAAAATATAATTAGAAAATAATTGGTAATATTTTTTCATATAATTCGGCATGTTTAGTTATTTATTTATTTAAATATACTAAAGCCAACATTTAACCAACTAATATTATTCGATCGGTTAACAGAATTACCGAATTTTTTGGTACGCATAGCGTGTTGCTTTATAAGGTGTAACATGTCGTGTTATAAAGTGCAATGTATATACGTATAAAGTGCAACGCATTGATATATAAAGTGCAATTATATAGATCTGATTTTTAGATTTATATCACCTAATATTTTTGGCGGGAGATGTTGACATTAATTGCAGAATGCGTTGGTTAAGTGCAACGTGGCGGCTTATAAAGTGCAACGTATTGTTTTATAAAGTGCAACAGTTTGATGTATAAAGTGAACTACCGAAATTTTGGTACGTTAGACGTGTTTGTGGATCGTGTGGATAAATGACACGATTGATGTTAAAATATTATGTATATTCGTTTTTTTGTTTATGGTGTGTGGTAGTTTGTGCAGAAGCTTAATTGTGGACTGTGGTGATAAAGTACAACATGTTATTTTATAAAGTGTGACTTATGTTTAATCAAGTGCAACTTACTTATATATAAAGTGCACTACTTTATATGATCTCATATAAATTATGTGTTTTTGAAAATTAAATTTAATAAATATAATTGTACATCAAATTAACCTAAATACTTGAAATATTTTATTATCTATTATTATATAAGTATACTTATTATTTTAAATATTTTTTTAGATATTAAAATTTTACATATTAAAATTTGTAAACATTGTACACTTTATTTATCATTAATATGCATTTATGTCAATATTACGATAACTTACATGTTTGGTCATAAACTAAATTTAAAAATACTCAAAATTAATAAAATTGTACATCAATACTATCTAATTTTTTTACAAAAATAAAATAATAAAAAATAAAAAAATAAAAAAATAAAAAAACAAACAAACAAACAAACAAACAAACAAATGAAGCCCCAAAATCCTAATTTAAATTTGCAACTTATTAAACATCATTAAAGTTTTTGCAAATAACAAATTTGACCAGGGACCAAATTGACATTTAATAAAAATTTAAAAATTTGCAACAAGTCCCTAGGTACTTTCTAATTCTCACAATGCTGCCCTTGGAAATATCTATATCTCAAAATGTTCGAGATCCCGCAGTGCATCCAATCTTTCTTCTCCAACCCTTGCTATCAGATATTTGGTGGTTGTTCACAATTTTCCGACATCGGGACGGGCGGACGTGGCTGTGGGGAAGGCGGAGACGTTGCCGACGCATCGTCCTTGTCAAACAGTGGCGGGCAGAGCGACGGCAAGTCGAGCGGCGGCTGTTGGCGGTGAGATCGAGTGGTGGCTATGTGCGTGGCTGAGTGTTGCGCCGGTTGGAGGCGATTGGTGGTGGCTAAGGACTGTGCACGGCGGCTCTCCGACGGGACGACGGTGGCAGGCCGTGCATATCACGGCTGGCGATTGCGGCGGCGCTCCCTGAGTAGCCGGTGGCTGGCGGCACCCCGTTACGAGCGTGAAGGTTGTGCAGAGATCGGGAATCGAGTTGAATCGAGTTGAGTTGCTACCTTCTTGCGTTTGCCCCGTCACGGGAGGTAGCAACTCAAATCGAGTTGAATCGACCAGTCACAACCTCCTCGGTGAATCGAGTTGAGTTGCTACGTTCTTGCGTTTGCCCGTGTCTTTGGGAGGAGCCTTTGGTGCCGCCTTTGTTCTTCCCATATTCGGCTAATGGAGACGGTGAATACAAGAGATGAACTCGAACCAATTGGCGTGCTTACTCGGTTGGGACAATTTGTCAAGCACTTGGTGAGCGGAAATTGAACAAAGGATCTTGGAGGACTTCAAATAATCTATGCCCGGTGTCAACCACCTCAACCAATTTATCCAACGAGTTTAGATAATTTCTCGTACCTTGAACTTGTGAGGACGACCGGAATTTGAAAATCCGAAATTTGAAGCACCTTCCTCGAGTAGGGTTGCCGAAAGGGGCGAACTGACGGGAGAAAAGAGTTCGGTATTGGGCGTGATGCCGGAGGTCGTGTGGTCGAGGCGTCGGTTTTGGGGCGTGACGGCGGTCGCGTGGTGGCCGGAGGTCAGGGCGTCTGGCGGAGGTCGATGGCAGGAGTTCAGAAATCGCGAGAGCTTGCGGAAGACGGGCTAAAAATAAGGGTTTGACCAAAGACCTCATTTATATAGGCGAGAGGGTCGCGGCGCGACGCATGCCGCGGCGTGAAGGAAAGAATCCCGCGGCGTGAAGGTTGTGCAGCGACGTTACGAGTTGTACTTCCACGGCGTGACGGGCTTCGCGACGCGACGAGAGAAAGACGAATTCCTGAAGGCCCGTTACGAGCTCCACGACCTGTGCCGCGGCGCGACGCTCAGGAGATGCCGCGGCGTGACTGTTCTCGCGGCGTGACGAGCAAAAGTCCACCTTCTGAAGGCCCGTGACGGTCCCACGAGATGCTCCGCGGCGCGACGAGCAAAAACTACCGCGGCGTGAAGGATTTCGCGACGTGAAAGCCTGACCTGCTGCTAAATACGAATCACCTCCAACTATATACCTCACAACTCCACAACATCATCGTCACGAGGTTATAAAAGAAAGAAAATCAATAAGGCTCAAATGGGGTGACTAGCGACATTATTTTCAGAAAAAGAAAAGGGAAAAGGAATACAAAGAATGCCTCAATCATTTTCATGTTCACAAATCCAACAATTTCATTTCTAAGCAGACTCAAAGCAAATTCAAATTGACCACGATTTTGACCAATATCTCACGAGAAAAGAAATGAACGTGGCTCAAAACCTCACAAGGTAAAATAAATGTCAACAAAACAACCAAGTCAATTCATCAAAATGTGCTACTTATTCTCATCATCACAACTTCCTAGCCCAATCAATCAATCATCAACTAGTCTTACAATACACCAAAGTCCAAGCTCACAACGACACCACAAATAATCCTGAAAACTATACTGGACCACCAAACAAGAGAAAAGAAATAAAGAAAAGAAATAAGAAAATAAACGCAATCCTAAAAGAAAAACTAGACCTGGCCAACCACATAGTCACGTAAGCACGTAAAACTCCCCCACACTTAAAATCAGACAATGTCCCCATTGTCGATTTGCGGTGAAGGAAAGTTAAACCATATAATTAACCGACAAGCAAAGAAACTGTACAAAATAAAAGAAGAAGAGAAAGAGAAACATACAAGGCACAGTGACAAGTCACTATGTGTCCGGGTGTGGCGGTGGAGGTAGGGAAGGTGGACCGGAACGAGCTCCCTCGGGTTCCCCACTGCTGGAACTGATCGTCCCATTGTTTCCATTTGGCGTACTGCTGTGCTTCCCAATTGTCCCAACGGGCCTCATGCTTCTCACTATGCTCTTTCCACTGATCCCAACGTCTGTCATTTTCAGTAATGTAGGCCTCCACTCGCGCATTGCACGAGCTGACCTCGGCGTGAATGGCTCGCATGTACTCATCTTGACGCGTCTGATACTCGATGAACCACGAAGGCGCCTGTTGGGGTAGAACGTCTGGGTCGCTGTGGGGTAGTGTAGGGCCATGATACTCCGTCTGGTCAGGTTGGTGGTCATCTCCTAAGGTATGCTCGGTAGGCTCGTCCGGTGCCTGATGAGACGACTCCCCAACTGCCTATTCTGATGAGCCTGCCGCTGCAGCTTTCTGCAGCCCATCCTGATAAGCTTTATAGCACTTCCGTTCCGAGTAGTGCTTGAGCTTGCGGCCACCAGTTACGAGATCGGCCAATATGAGATCGTTCCAACCAATTCGCACTGCGGCGGTGCTCGGTTCACCATCATGAGGAACTTTGAAATAATCGGCAATTTCCCTCACAACATGCCCCAATGTGGGGTGACTTTTCGCCTTGTTTCTCGTATCCCAAAGGGCTTGTTTTAGGAAGGGTAGAAGGCACACGGGTCTACCCTCGTACATCGCGCTTAGAATAAACACCTCCTGCTCGCTGACTTTGTTCCACTCCGTTTTTCCGAAAATGTTGCACGTGAGGAATTTGTGGACGATTGCAATGGGCACATCTTTAATCAACCCTGCTGACGCGCCGCGTTTGTTAAAGGATTTGCACGGGGATAAAACAGCCCACTTCTTATGGACGTCAAATTTCTCGGGCTTTTGACGCGCATCCGTGGTCTTCAAGTGGAGGATATCACAAAGGACTTTGTCGGTGATCTTGAGTTCTTTTCCTCGTAAACGGCACGTGAGGTACTTCATATCTTCGTGTGTCTCTAACGTGCTAAAGAACTCGATAGTAAGGCCTTTGAAGGGGGTCAAATTCGCGTCCGCGCATTTTTCCAAATTAAGAGCCCTCAGATATTTTCTGACATCTTCGGCTATGCCTAGGCTCTGTAATATCTCCCAATCTAGCACTCGAGAGCACGGGAATGGTTTCGCCGCAAGGCGTTTGTACGTGAGTGCCTCATCTTCATTAAGAACCTTGAATGGAACGCCGTGAATTTCAGCTAACGTTCTGGTTTCCTCCACTGGGTGTGCGTTGGAGTGGTTCGAGTGGTCCGAGTCGCTCGGTGAATCGAGTTGAGTTGCTACCTTCTTGCGTTTGCCCGTGTCTTTGGGAGGAGCCTTTGGTGCCGCCTTTGTTCTTCCCATATTCGGCTAATGGAGACGGTGAATACAAGAGATGAACTCGAACCAATTGGCGTGCTTACTCGGTTGGGACAATTTGTCAAGCACTTGGTGAGCGGAAATTGAACAAAGGATCTTGGAGGACTACAAATAATCTATGCCCGGTGTCAACCACCTCAACCAATTTATCCAACGAATTTAGATAATTTCTCGTACCTTGAACTTGTGAGGACGACCGGAATTTGAAAATCCGAAATTTGAAGCACCTTCCTCGAGTAGGGTTGCCGAAAGGGGCGAACTGACGGGAGAAAAGAGTTCGGTATTGGGCGTGATGCCGGAGGTCGTGTGGTCGAGGCGTCGGTTTTGGGGCGTGACGGCGGTCGCGTGGTGGCCGGAGGTCAGGGCGTCTGGCGGAGGTCGATGGCAGGAGTTCAGAAATCGCGAGAGCTTGCGGAAGACGGGCTAAAAATAAGGGTTTGACCAAAGACCTCATTTATATAGGCGAGAGGGTCGCGGCGCGACGCATGCCGCGGCGTGAAGGAAAGAATCCCGCGGCGTGAAGGTTGTGCAGCGACGTTACGAGTTGTACTTCCACGGCGTGACGGGCTTCGCGACGCGACGAGAGAAAGACGAATTCCTGAAGGCCCGTTACGAGCTCCACGACCTGTGCCGCGGCGCGACGCTCAGGAGATGCCGCGGCGTGACTGTTCTCGCGGCGTGACGAGCAAAAGTCCACCTTCTGAAGGCCCGTGACGGTCCCACGAGATGCTCCGCGGCGCGACGAGCAAAAACTACCGCGGCGTGAAGGATTTCGCGACGTGAAAGCCTGACCTGCTGCTTCTGCTATTCAATTCTTCTGCTTTTATTTGCTGTACATAAAATACAAATGGTACAAAGATGCTCGGTTTAACGCCGGGAGCTCGGCACACTCGTGATCAAACATATAATGGTTCGCCGAGACCCACAGTCTCGACATGCTTAATTCCGGATCCTCCTTCAAAATACGGTTTCACTCTTTGACCATTCACCACAAACAGTTCATTATTCGCCGGATTGCAAAGTCGAACGGCTCCAAAAGATAGAACTTCATCGATGACATAAGGTCCGCTCCACCGAGACTTGAGTTTTCCCGGGAATAGACGAGTTCATGCCAGGCACAAGACTTTTTCGAACAATAGAAGCATCATGGAGTTTCTTGACTTTGTCCTTGTAGATCTTTGAGTTCTCATATGCTTCGTTTCTCCACTCTTCGAGTTCCGAGAGTTGTAGCATCCTCTCCTTTCCGGCTGCATCCAAGTCAAAGTTCACCTTCTTGATAGCCCAAAATGCCTTGTGCTCAATTTCCACCGGAAGATGGCAAGATTTCCCATAAACAACCCGAAACGGGCTCATTCCCAAGACTCCCTTGTACGCCGTCCGTTGGGCCCATAATGCATCGTCAAGTCTGCTCGACCAATCCTTCCGTGATGAACTGACTGTCTTCTCTAAGATGGTCTTGATCTGTTTATTGCTCGTCTCCGCCTGGCCCGAAGTTTGTGGATGGTAGGGAGTAGCTACTTTGTGCGAAATGCAATATTTCTTCATCAGTTTTTCAAAGAGTTTGTTGCAGAAGTGCTTCCCTCCATCACTCACAATTGCTCTTGGGAACCCAAACCTGCTCAATATGTGACCTTGCACAAACTTGATCACAACATTAGCATCACATGTCTTTGTGGGGATAGCCTCAACCCACTTAGACACGTAATCTACAGCAAGTAAAATATACTCATAGCCACTAGACTTAAGAAATGGTCCCATAAAATCAATGCCCCAAACGTCGAAAATTTCTACTTGAAGGTTATTAGTCAAGGGCATCTCATTTCTGCGACCTATATTCCCAGTTCTTTGGCATCTATCACACGAACGGCAGAATGTATGAGCATCTTTAAAAAGGGTAGGCCAAAACAAACCTGACTGTAGAATCTTGAAGGCGGTTTTCTGGCCGCCAAAGTGGCCTCCACAATGGAACTTGTGGCAGAACGTGAGGACATCAAATTGCTCCTCTTCCGGTACACATCTCCTAAGCACCTCGTCCTTCCCCATCTTGAATAGAAACGGCTCATCCCAAAAGTAATTCCTACACACAGAAACAAAGCGTTTCCTCTCTTGGGAAGAGAGGTTAGACAGCAATATTCCACACGACAAGTAGTTCACAATGTCTGCATACCAAGGAATAGTAGTCACTTCACTAACATGCTCGTAAGGAAAATTATCATTCACACCAACACGTTCATGCAATGTAAGTGAAGAGTCAGAAAGAACAATGCGAGACAAGTGATCAGCAACAACATTCTCACAACCCTTCCTATCGCGAATTTCTACATCAAATTCTTGCAACAATAAAATCCACCGAATGAGTCTAGGTTTCGATTGAGTCTTACTCAAAAGATACCTAAGGGCTGCATGGTCGGAATGCACAATTACTTTAGATCCTAAGATATAAGACCTAAATTTTTCAAGAGAAAACACAACAGCCAAAAGTTCTTTCTCAGTGGTAGTATAATTCAATTGGGCACCATTGAGAGTCAAACTAGCATAATAAATCACACGAAGCAATTTATCAACTCGTTGACCCAAAACGGCCCCCACAGCAAGATTCGATGCATCACACATAATCTCAAATGGTAAAGACCAATCTGGGGCAATCACGATGGGTGCAGTCACTAGCTTATTTTTCAATTTATCAAAGGCATCTACACATGCATCATCAAACACAAAAGGTACATCGTTGGCAAGCAAGTGACACAAAGGCTGGCTTATTTTCGAAAAATCTTTAATAAATCGCCTATAGAAGCCAGCATGACCCAAAAAACTTCTAACTCCCTTCACATTCACAGGAGGTGGGAGTTTTTCGATAACATCAATCTTAGCCTTATCAACCTCAATACCACGATTAGACACCACATGGCCTAACACAACTCCACTAGTCACCATAAAATGACTCTTCTCCCAACTCAAGGTCAAATTAGACTCAATACACCTTTCAAGCACACGAGATAAATTATGGAGACAATCAGAAAATGAAGTACCGAAAATAGAGAAGTCATCCATAAATACCTGTAGGCAGTCCTCGAGCATATCTGAGAAGATGGAGAACATGCACCTTTGGAAAGTCCCAGGTGCATTGCATAAGCCGAATGGCATCCGTCTGAATGCAAAGGTGCCGAATGGGCACGTGAAAGTCGTCTTAGGCTGGTCCTCTGGCGCTATGGCTACTTGATAGTAGCCGGAGAGTCCGTCTAAGAAACAGTAGAACTGATGGCCCGAGAGACGGTCGAGAATCTGATCGATGAACGGCAACGGGAAATGGTCTTTCTTGGTCACAGCATTGAGGCGGCGGTAATCTATACACATTCTCCACCCGGTAGTGATTCGGGTGGGGACCATCTCCTTCTTCTCATTCTCTATCACCGTGATTCCCCCCTTTTTCGGCACCACGTGGATCGGGCTGACCCACTCGCTGTCTGCTACTGGATAAATGAGTCCCTCGGAATAAAGTTTCAACACCTCCTTCTTCACCACCTCCATCATGTTCGGGTTGAGTCTCCGTTGGCTGTCCCGAAATGGCTTGGCACCCTCTTCTAGGATGATCCGGTGCATGCATGTGGAGGGGCTGATTCCCTTAATGTCTCCGAGGTTCCATCCAATCGCCTTTTGATTCTTCTTGAGTACATCAATCAACTCCTTCTCCTCGTCACTATTAAGCTCGGCAAAGATGATGACCGGCTTTTGCTTCTTGTCATCAAGGAAAACGTACTTGAGATGGCGGGGCAATTCCTTAAGCTCTAATGTGGGTGGAGTAGGTGCGTGTGGCTCATCAGCTGCGAAAAGCTCAATGATTGGCTCTTCTTCATCGTTGAGGTCGGGCATTAACCTCTCCTCCAAGTCTCGTATAGTCATCTCTTCCACG